CATTATATGAAATATTAATTTGAATTTGAATAATTTGGTTCCTCGAATTTGTTTAATAATTTGTTGAATTAACTCCTTTCTGATTGATAATGAACATATTGGTTCGAAAAAATGTGTTTGAACATGTCTCGCATCAATATTACAAAAATTGTTCGATCCCGGGATTATCCCAGGATCAAAAATCGATCCCAAGATTAAATCCCGATCCCGGGATTGAAAAAAACGTCGGGATTTTGCAAACCCTAGTGTATACAAAGGGTCAGCAATACCAGGATCACCGTTTTCAAAGTAACGGTACTTTCGGGTCTGCCCGATAACATGTCTGTTTCTTTTGACCAACGCATTCTCCAGATTCTCTAGTTTCAGAATAATATATATGTTGTCGGGCGATCTTGTTTGCTTGCAGTACTATTGAGGGTTTTCTGAAACTATATCTTATAGCCGAGTGACTCGTTGTAATTGCATTGATCAGTGTATACCTTCCGGTGAGGGCCCGTAAAGTTGCTCCGGATTAATGTGCAATTGTCGTCAGAAATACTCTCATTCGACATTTTAGTGCAACGGTGATGAATAACAAGAAATTGTAGTTTGTAGGATGATTCTTTTTCTGTTCGTTTGTATTGTATCATGATGTTAGGCCATCCATTCAGTTTGCTTTTTAAGTGTTTCCCATCTTTGGAATGTTTTCTGGTTTTAGCGATTCAGTTCGCGTGCTTTTTTGGTAGATTGTGTGTTTTCATGTTGAATTGTGATCTCTCAGAAAAGTTCTTGTGCTAGCTGGAGTTGGAGGGGTGGACTACCCCGAGGGTTCCGTTCAGTTTCGATATTGTCGAGCGTTTTGATTGATTACAACACTTACATGATTGTGGCTGATTCGGATGTTTAGGCACTTCTAAATGGCTGAAATGATTTACTTTGGTGACTGACCATTTTGAGTGAGCATAATCGTTAGAAAGTTTTGATTGGCTAATATGCGTTTAGAAACATTTGTTTTGTTATGTGTGAAATGATGAATGCCGGAACGTTAATTGCTCATGTTATTTAATTTAATGAGTGAACAATTGTTTAGAACAGTGTGTATTTATTATCGATTGTGCCTAGGTAAGTAAGCGTTCTACGAGCACAGAAATGCTTACGAGGCGTTGCATCGAGCCGGGCTACAATTGTTCTCGGATCATGAAACAATTTCTCAGGGTCAGGATGAGTACCGCCGGACAACCGGAACCGACAGCAGCTGAACTAGACACAGTTGCAAGTAATCTTCGAGTAGTACTAGATCGACTCGACGTAATTGCTGAAAAGGCGCAGAGTACCGACAAATGGCGCAATCGGAAACCGGTTCTAGTTGCTGTGTCGAAATTGAAGCATCCTCAACTTATTAGGTCAGTCAGTTGAAAAGCTTGATTTATTTCCGAAGAGCAACTTGAATTCGGCTGCACCGATGCATTTACTTAGATAGAATTGTAAAACAGTTAAGTAACTGTAGGTTATTCTTATTCATCGAATAATTTTGAGATTACGGTCTGTCTCGAATTTTGCACTATTCATTGTGAATATATTGGCTCTCCGCATGGTTGTATGCGTAAGAATTGGAATCGTCTTATGAGAATTACTTATTGAATGTAAAGGCGATGCTATGATGAAGGCCATCGGAAGTTCGGCGAGAACTACATTCAAGAATTGGCCGAGAAGGCGGTGATACTGAAGGATGAATGTCCGGAAATTGAGTGGCACTTCATAGGTCAGATTCAGTCGAATAAGGTTCGTGATCAGAGTCTTTCTGATTTCTATTTGATTACTTTGAAGATGCCAATTGAATTTGAGGTTGCCTATAGGTGATTACTTACCTAATTCCCGATGAAGTTCTTCTGGCGGCTATTAGCGAAGAAGCTATTCCGCTATTGCCCGCCTCTAGAAGTAATTCGTGCTCTCGAATTACCAAAATAAAACCAGCAACACTCGTTCATTTATTATTTTATCTTATCATCGAAAACCTTCATACTTATGCAATGAACATTTCAGATTGCTAAATTGGCATCGGTGCCAAATCTCCACTACGTTGAAACACTAAGTAGCGAAAAGCATTGTGCTCTTCTGAACAAAGAAATGTCGAGACACGGTCGTTGCTTGAATGTTTATGTACAGGCGAACACCAGTGATGAGCCTCAAAAAGGTGGCGCCACTCCAGATGCGGTCTGTCGATTATATTATCAATTTAGCTGTCATATTTTTAGTTGCGATTATAACCTCGTAATCGTGTGTTGAGTTTACTGCGCTTGAATTGCTAATGGATATGCTGTAATGGTGTTTACTGATGATGAGTCTGAGTATATTCAACCGAGAATTCGGTTCATTTCAGGCTGTGGAGTTGGCGAAATTCGTGCAGTCGGAGTGTTCATCGTTAAAATTAGCAGGGTTTATGACGATTGGTTCGTATGAACATAGTTCATCGGAACTGCCGAACACTGATTTTGATGTGCTGTTTGACATTCGAAAGAGGTGAGCTAGTCTGTTACTTCTCGTTCAACATTTCTCGGATATGGCGTGTCAAAATATGTTACGTATGTTTAGATAAGTCCATTTTGAGAAAACTCAAAGTTGAATTGATGTTGTTATCAATTTACTGGTTGTTACTGCTTCTGAGATGAAAATTGACAAATCCAATGCGAGTGTTTATTTTCAAAAAGAATTTATCGTCGTTTCAGATTTTGTGAACGCACCGGCTCGTCTGAAGGTGATTTCGACTTATCAATGGGAATGTCTCATGATTTTGAAACGGCTGTTCTTCAGGGGAGCACATCGGTTCGGGTTGGTAGTACAATATTCGGACCGAGACTGAAGAAAAACTGATGCAGTAGTCTTTTTGTGTTTGGAATGTAAATGCTATTGATTTGGTGAATTTGTTTCGATAGATCAGACTTAGCTCGATGTTCACTCATTGAATGTGATATTATGCAGTCATTCTGTTTAAATATTTTCTTCATAATCTTTTCATTGCCATTTTAATTTCGTGTAATTTGACTGATTGTCAGTTGTCACGATGTGATTATATTCTTCGTGTGTTGTCATCTTCTTACCAGTCGTAGAGGAGACATGCTGATTACGTTTATTGCGATTGTAAGTGTACGAGGCATTTTGTTCAGTCGTCAAGCCATTCTAAACTGTATTGTATTGTAACATTTTGGTTCATCTGTTTGACAAGTTGATATTCATGATGCTTTGAAGTCTGGAGATTTATGTTGTTCGTTGATTTGTTTAAACGAATCGCATTCACTTTCCACATGCAATTAGTTTATGTAGAAATCTTAGAAACACTTTAGTGTGTTCATCGTTGTATTGTTTGGAATATTCAACCGGTTATTTCGACGTTTATATTCGCCATAATGACTGAATGGAAACATATTTCTTGCATATACGTGT